AACCTTACAGCATTTTTCGCGTTTGATTTCCAACATGTCTCGCTGAACCATTATGTTTGTCGTCCAATTATTTAATGTGTTCCAACTCTATTGTCCTGAATATGCGATTTACCGGCCGTTCACCATTCATTTGCTGCCATTTTTGAACCGACACATGACTGCCGTGGTTTGTCTCTTGAATTGGTCAATTTGTTGCGTCCGAAGTCTAAACCCATTCATTTCTCCCATGTCACGGAACCAGACGTCGAGTCGTCCCTGCGGCCCAAGCTCAGCTTGTGATGCGGCATGCTCCCGAACCACGGAGCCTGCTGTTCCAGCTGGACCGATAGGTCCCCACCTGGTTGAAACACCAACTGAAATGGTGCGATTGGGGGTGGTGTTCTCGAACGTGTATTGAATTACTAATAGGGAATTGGGTTTGATACTCCGCTGACCTGGACCATGTCTGGGACATTCGTACAATGGGAGCCCATAGGGCCTTCCAGCACTACGTGCCGAAGTATGGAAGAATGGGCTGTTCGTATACAGGCAGGTACGTTCCTTTCCTTTGATCTTGAAAAACAATTTGTCATTGATGACCCATCAGGTATCCGGACCACAAAGCCACCCAGAGACTTTCTCACTCACATGTGGATACTTCGTTACGCTAACACTCTGAGGGAGTTTCGCTTTCTTGGGAACCATGTCGAGCAACCCGTTTATCCCTTCACCCTTCATCACGATCGTACCCCTGCTGAGCGAAGAAAGATACACAATGCCCCTCAGTATCCAAAAATTCCCCCTATTCCCTCCCTCTACTGGTCGTCAATCTCTCGTGTGCCTCTCGTGTTCTCACACAATGCACCGTATCGTCCATTCATTCATCGCACTTCACTTGATCCCCCACTTCCTGGTCCCTCGGTTGTCGAAAACCACCGTGGCGGAAAACATCTTAGCAATGAATATATTCTCCAGGTCGAAGCGTTTGTACAGTCTCAGTTCGACCTATTCTCGCGGTGGGATGCGATCCGGGACACGTTTTCGTTAGTGGAACAATGCGTGCCAATGCCTCGAACTCAGGATGGGCTGACTGCAGAATCCTTTCAATGGAAGGATAGGTTGAGGCGTATGGGGGGAATATTGAAGGGCTAGTCAACAACGTAGATGAAGTGCTTACGTTTGCGTACGAGTTGGGTGGCGTTGGTCGATGGTACTGTCATTGTCACATCGAGCGGCTCCTTCATGAACACGATGGCGATTATTTCTTGGGTGTGGACGACGAGCTGATAGGTGTTGTGTTTGAACTCCCTTTCGCAGACGACTGCCCATCGTTGAGGACAAGAATGGAAATGCTGTCCCGTCACGGTGTTCCTGTTTTCGGTGTTCAGGTCGTTGGGAGTGGGGGTAGTCTTCGGCAAGATTTTGTGCCACAGTGCGGGACGGATTTTAAAACTTACGCGATGGCAGTTCAGTCTGCATCCCTTCCAGCAGTACGGCCAAGGGGCATCATTTTCAAGCAGCTCAAGTTCACACCTGCTCGCCCAATACCCTGGATCATCAGGCCAACCCATGGCTACCCTGGTTTACGGGACCCCTCAATCACGATGGAATTGGCCCTTGCAGACGTACTTTATCCTAGCCATAATCCGCTTTACACAGAAGGGGAACTGTGTCGGTTGATTAAATCTTTTTTCGGCCATAACCTCTTTCCTGTCATGCCTCCTCCATCCCCTCTGCCGCGGCGTCCATCCTCCCCTACACTTAAACCAGTGCGTACCTGGCGCGATAGTGTTGGAGGCTCTAGCGACGACGAATTTTATCCTCATTTCGAGCCTCCCCGTCAGGAACATGATGAGGACTCGTCCGATTATGAAGAAAGGGTGACTGTGGCGGCTCGAAAGTTTTCAGATGAGCAGCGGAGTGTGGATGCTGCCTGCCAACTCTTGCAAGATGCGCGGGACGACGACAGAGATGCCATTGAAAGATGCCAAGGGATTTGGGATCGAGGACATGGGAAAAAGAAGAGGCAACTGTCGGCCCATGATTACCATATCGTCAGCAATTGGCATAAGTACAGACCTGATCGAGAGTTTGCCAAACGCCCTCGAAAGAAGCTGAAATTATGGGATCATGATGGACATCGGGACGATGGTCGAGATGGATTACCGTTGCAGCGTGAAGACGTCTGCATGGGGCCTGCGATGGACCTTGAGATGAATAATATTGACAAAGGTTCCAAGCGCCATCACGTGTCCATCGGCCGCATTAATCCACCAGCTATTGTCTCATTGTCTCCTTCACCTCCTACCCCCGCCTCCAGGTTGTCTCCAGGAGACACTTGTTTTGACCCCATTTGTATTGAGACTTCGGATTCCTCAACCCCTGTCGACCATCCTTCACGCCCAACATCACCATTGTCGAAGATCCTGCTCGAGGAGTGCATGACACGCCGTGAAGGACCAAAATCATCTTCCGGATCTGTGACTAGCTCCCGACCCTCCGGTCGCCCTCCGCTCAATCGTTTTCCATTGCCGAATCCCATCCCATCCAGACATGGTACAACGCCGAGTCATGGTGTTCCTCTCACTTCTGCCGCCTCGAGGGTGTCAGACAACGACTTCGTCAAAAGTGCCAATTCCGCGGTGAGGAGGCCGATGCGTCCTGGGGACAGCTGTGTCGCTGCCTCCCCACTGGCTGCGCCGGGAAACCTCCCTCTGCCGAATGTGGCGACACCACTGGCCGCATTGCCGAGCAAGGGCAGTCAATCCGTGGATTCATTCTCAAGGCCGAACAATGAAAGCCAGAAGGCATCAGACAGCGGCCTTGCCAAGATTGCGGTGGCGAGGGAGCCGACACGTCCTCTTGTGACTATTGGGTATCGTGCTTCGCTGCCGAATGAGGGTGGCCGTGTGGCTGCTCCCTCGCAGTCAGTTGGCATGCTCAGCTCATCAATTCCAGCGCGTTGGCCTGTGGTACCTCTAGGCCACTGGTATCGCCTTGTGGTAGATGAGGTTCAGGACCCGGAGTTGCTCTGGCTGGAAAAGTGCAGTGCCCAAGGAGTCTACGCAGCACATCGTGCGAGGAAGAACGGGCGTCGTGAGCCACCGTCTATGGAGCTGCTCTTTAAGCGTCTTGCTGATCGTGATGGAATGGCTGACAAGTTGCGTTCGGAGGGAAGAGCTTGTTCATCAGATATGTATGTCGGCTCGCTCCTTAATTACACATCCACAGTGGATTTGCTATATGTGGATATGGCATTTACGTGCAAGCATGCTGATATTCCAGCTATCATCGGTACTGCACCTCCGAAGGCGAACAAGGTGAATCATCTTCATGCGTTCCTTCAGTACGAAAAGTATCCCCCCTCGTTCCCCAGTCCCTGTACCAACACCCTCCCCCCAACGAAAATGATCGTACACGTCCTATGCAATGCATCACGTTTTCAGCTGCCTGGCTACAATCTAGAGTGTATCAGGAGGCTTCCGATACTGAACTCCATCGTTTTGAGGTTCTTATTGGTGCCCACTCTCTCCAGAGTCAAGGTCTGTTGAAATTCTCTGTGCCTATGTGGCCAACGTCAGGCCCTATGGATGGTGTTATTCGCCGTGTTGCACGCTGGGCTCATGAAGAGATGACGAGGAATGCTGAAGAACCGCGTATCATCGAGTCGAGTGCGGAAATGCTTCAATATCACCCTAAGGGTAATAATTGGCAAATCGTGCTTGAACTGAATCTTGGTAGGCCTCGCTACATGAAGCACGTCTCCGAGCCGTGGACTCATCTTATTTGATGTGGTCGTTTTTCTGCCTTGTGTATTCGTGTCATTTCCGTGCTTGCATGGTCACTTTGGAGTCCACAATTACATAATGTGTTCTCTTTCCCACCATGTTTCCCTTGCACGTGTGCCTTTCCACTGCAACGTCATGTTCCTCTGTATCTCCCACATGTACTCCTTTTATAATATTGCTATATTGTAATATTATTATTATAATATATACATTTTTGGCATCACGTGCAGGCAAGGTCACGCTAGCGATGCATTGATTACATAACAAACTGTATAGTTGTTTGTGTAGCGCATTGCGGTGAGTTGAGTTCCTCAAAGCTGCCATGGCCTGAATCTCATTCGTCACTAGCCTCTTACTCTATCTAAGAACACGAGGTTGAAGCTGTCTTGGTCATCATTCTGCTCTTTCGCAGGAGGAACGAGCTGCTCATAGAGGTTACATGTTATTGAAGCGTCTGCGCTCTTCTTGGTTGATGAGAAGGGTGGAGCGTTCAGTCTGCCCATATTTCGTCGAGTGAAGCAAGGTCAAATCGTTCTGGCTGGCAAGGAGGGTGGAGCACTCAACCTCAATGCATCCCCATTTCCAAGCACGAGAAGAGCATGTTTCCTGGATTTCTTATTAAGACCCATCGTATAGACGATACCTCTCAACGTACGTTGACCAAAATGCCAAGTGTGGTACCTCAATTGATTATGTTTTCCACAGAATCCTTTAATTATGAGCTCCGACAGTTCCCCAAAACGACCACAACAAGCACCCATGCTTCGCAAACGAAGCGGCCGTACTCGGACCATCCCTGATTATCGGGCCCTCAGTGGTTCCGCACCCAAGAAGAGTAACCCCACTCGCTCCCGAGTCGTCTCCGACTCCAGAACTGCCCCAGTGGAAGCGAGGACAGTTCCAGGTCCTTCCACGAATATTACCCCAGTAACTCCCCCTGCGATCTTTGCGAATATATCTCGACTTCATGATGCAGCGAAGCGACATCCATCCTCCACCCCTGGAGGGATTCCAGGTTCAGTTTTTGGACAATACAGCATCACGTCGATCGTGCACACCTTATCATTATACGCAACGCCCGCGGATGCATGGGAGGGGGAAATTAATCCATGACTTGACCAGCACTTCGGAGTTTGGGCTATGGGACGGCCGGGGGCCATTCAGAAGTTGGCGAATCAGATTTCGGTCCTCACGGCCTCGATGGCTTTATAGAAATTCTCCAGTGGCTAGCAGGCAATGGCTACACGGTGGACGCCATGCTTGGGGGGAAGGTGGATAACATAATTCGTGCCATTGACTTCGTGTATGTATTCCGATTCTTACTATTTAGCTCATTGATAATTGAAATCGTGTTCGAACGTAGTGTTGGATCATCTTCACGCTGACCTTTGGGACTGGTATTCCAACCTTGACTCACCACCAAACTACAGATGTGAGTTTTGATGGTCCGGGGGACTTCGCTTGGTCTTAGGGCATAGAGATGTCCCTTTGCCTCCTCATTTGTTCTGTTGTTTGGCTGCTCATTTCTTCACTCGCCCTATTCCTTCATTTTCTACTCACTTTTACGTTACCTGATTAATCTGTTCACTCTGTCCAACTCCTTTCATTCTTCGATTACATCTACGCTACTTATTTACATGTTAATTGATTCACTGTCTTTTCAGGGCGCCTATTTTGCGTTGCTAAGCCCGCCAAAGAGGTGGTTTTTACCAAGGGGCCCCCACATTGATCTTGGGGCCCCTTGGTAAAAACCACCTCTTAGGTAGGCTTAGCAGCGCAAAATCGGTACCCCTATAGGGCCTCAACCCTGGCTGAGCAAGGTGTCTTCATGAATGGCAGCAGGAGCATATAGATCCATTGTCGTCTAGCAAGGCATAAGGTCATGGACCGTACCACAGGATCTCAGCGTCGATATATTCGCATGCAGAAATCCACCAATGTGGCGATCATCCAAATAACAGCAGCCTCTGGCAAGGGCGTCTATCCCTTCTTCATTGTTGGAATACAAGTCACGATTAGCTAGGCTAAATAATAATCATCTTTTGGTCTTACCTCAGGTCCCTTCGTTATAGCACGAGTGTAGCTGCCAAGCGCTATGTCACTAATTGACTAGTCTATTCAACATATTGCGTTCAGGTGTCTACCAGTATTGCTCAACCGCCACACGTGGGAGTGTGCCTAGAAGGTGCAAATGTACGTGTAGAATGCCGTCAGCACGTGAATAACGCATGGGGCAGGACTAGCACAAGCTTCTCAGCGTGTGTGGGCGCGATGTTTTCCTGCGTGTGGACGTGGAAGTTGTGGGTGGATGGCCCAGAGGTCATGAGTGTGGGCCTGGGGAGTCGTGAACACGAGCGAAGTAAGCAGAGCAGGTACAAGCGCACGAACTTGGCGTGAAAACGACCTAATCAACGCAGGCGCATGTTTGAGAGTTACACGCGTGTGGATTGCATGTGGGAAAGGTTTTTAGAGCGTAACAACGCATCTGGAGAGATGTGTGCATGAGAATCACGCGGATTCCAAGTCAATTGAGCCCGGCCATATTGTGCCTGTAGAGATTGCACTGCCAAGGGGCGATTGCAATCCTCACAAGAGTGAGCTGTGGCTAGGAGGTAGATGAGATCCGACGATGTGGTGGAGAACGGATGAAGTATATTTCTGAGCTGTCATCCCTGGGGATTATACGTTCGGTCGCTTCGGTCGACTTACATGACGTGGAGAACAGGGCCTGTCAAAAAGAGGTCGCATCAGTACCTCTTGGGACGAGGTTGGGCGCGGGGTGGCCTTGTCGTTCGCAGTCCATTTCCAGAGAAAGGGCATGTGTTGAGGGCAAGAGTTATTGCACACAGAACAAGGAGCTGTTGGCATTGGCCGAACCGATCGATCCCGCTCTTCCTTGCACCCATGTCAGAGCAGCCAAGTGAAGACTCGTTTTATGGTGAAAATGAAAAAGCTTCGTATTAGTGCACTTGACTGACGTTGGGCTAGGTCCAGTATGGTGGAAGAAAGGAGGGGTGGGATTTCAATACCGGGTGGGCGAATTGTGAGCCCTTGCTCTACGATATGTGAGGGTGTAGCTGAGCCTCCTGTAGTGTCTACTGGATGGACGATTCCACGTTGAGTGAAGACGAAGACTTTGCAAAGACTCTGGTGGAGACTGGCGGAAAGGGGAAGATAATAAGTATTAGGCCCCCACCCATGAGTGCTCTGAGTCAATCCAGCACTCCTGGCTGACACTATGTTGTTGAGGATGAGGACGAGGATGAGGATCAGGCAAGAATCATCATCGTAACCTCTACTAATTGCTAATACCACCCATAGCTAGTGGAATTGGAGGTTTACTGGGATGCCGAAATCTCAGCATCTGCCAATGGAGTTCCAGAAGAGCTTCATGAGCAGCTCTCATAAGTCTTGAGCACATTGCGGAGAGAAGCAAGTCACACCTATTCTCCCCTAGTTCATTTGACGTTTACCCTGGTGAGCTAATTCAGCTCAAGGGGGTTTCCATTGTCCGGTCTTGGAGGGACATCAAACGTATGTTTCTAACTTTTCGCCTCGGGTTTGCCCTGAGCTACCGATAGATTCATGTCCTGTTATCCAATCTATCTTTGATCGCCAAGCCTTCTCTGAAGCACAGGCAGGGAACATAGTCCCTCACTACTATGAGGGTTGGTTTTGGATGTAAGGATCCTGAAATGCCCAGAGCTACTAACAGGGTCTTACGCAATTTTTTTAAGCCGGTTCTTCCAAGAGGGACTTGAAGGGTTTCATGTAAGCACCCTAGCCAAACCCTGACCCATTACTGAACCACTGCTTAGCCTATCGAGAACCATTGTGAGAACCCATGCAACAATGCATGGGATCCAAATAGCCAGCCTCTGAGATTCTGCTGCCAACAAGTTCCACACTGGTATGTGCTGACCAACAGCAATCATTGCCAACCATCCTCTGCAGCCTACACGATGGCTGAGGTCCTTCAGTCAGTCCTGCCTGAGGGTACTGCACATGCGTACCAATTGACAGATTTGCATCCTGATGTGTGCAAGATCGCAAAGGTCGCTTGCAGTGACCTCACACTTTTTGGCTTACCAGAAGGCAGCAACTGGAGCCTCAAGGAAGAATTAACCACCTTCCATGCTAGAAAACGGTATATCTTGGCAGCAGCAGAAGAGCTAGCAAGATTGTCCTCTCAGCCTAGTCAAAACGTTGGACTTGAGGCAAGCGCTTTCGTAACTGAGGAGTTCGAAGCACTCTTTGAGATGGAACTCCTGCACGAGGGGGTGTACATCAAGTATCGGTGTGGTAATTGCAGCAGGCTATTTTGAGGATATCCTGGGGCCCTCCAATTACTATCGATCGTTACCCTTCGTCAATCCCCCAATGCTTTTCAGTCCACCGCTAGCTTACACAGTGCGTAATCTACTTTTCTTCAACTCACTTCTTTTAATTGAATAACCTTAGGGCCCGCCTCTACCTCATCGCCCCGATACCCATTCCCTCTCTCAACTAGTGAACACCCACAAGGTCCCATCAGCGCTGAAAAAACGCAGGACCATGCGGCACCATTCAGCACTAGATACCATCGTGATTGGCGGAGCTTGTTGGCAGAGCTTGTGAGGCTTTTGTTTCCAGAGGGGGTTCGATTTTTTTTACCTGCATGGCCACCCCGTTGTCATATCCATTCCCGGCCATCGACTTCCGGGCTCTCCGACCCCTCCGTTCTAACTCCGCTCCCCCCTCACCAACCTCGGAGCCCCCGTATTCCGCAAACCTCTCGGTACCCCTCGATGGTCACCACCCCCTCATTTCAATTTATTACCTACGCCTCCCTAAGTATGGAGCCCCGAAGACTTCCGGACAGCTCCGACGTCCGCTAGCGCACTCCCGCCTCCGCTGGGCAATACACTCGCCTGCCCTGCAGAGTCCACCTTCGGGCCTATCCCTCCTTTCCGTTTCTGGGTTAACGCCTGCCTTTCCGCTAACCCCGCAAACCGACTCGTCGGTAATATTCAGTCGGCTAATGTCTTAACCCCGTTAGCTCCGCTCCGTCCGGCTCCGCCAATTGCGGAACCGTCTCCGCTGTAACCATATATATACACTACTTGTACATAGGTTACGCCCCAGCAGATAAATCAACTAGAGTTACCCCCACTAGGTTCTAAGCGCCAGTCAGTAAGTTAGGGCACGGACGTGTCACTAGGCACAGCGCTCCTGGCAGAAGTCGCTGAGGCCAAAGCCCTCCGTTACGGAGACATTCCTTCGTCTTAAATCTGGTCTCTGACACCCGTGAGAAATGGGCAACATCGGAAGCTCGGCCATCCAGTTTGAGGGAGCAAAAGTAGTCGTGTGAAATTCCCGCTACTCTGTAGCGGGTCTTGCGTGCACAAACTGAATACCTGAGCACCGTTATTGGTTATTCCCTTTTTTACCTCAGCTTTCTGACACTCCAGATTACCTCAACTTGCTTACCGAGCTAACCCAAGTTGTCCCTCACCGCTGCGGATCCTAACTCACCACTTGGCCCTACACCCAAACCTCCACCCTCCCACTCTTTCCTGCCCAAATCCTCCAACCCTCCCGCTGCACTTCCTTCCTGCCCAAACTCTTGCTCCACACTATGGCGTCCTCTCCACACCGAGCCTTTTTAAGTGGCCCCTGGCCATTTAAACTCCTTACCACTGAAGCTGATTGCGATTTTCATCTAACCAAAGAAGCGATCGCTCACGGCCTATATGATTTTTCATTGTCAATCAACGATCAATGGAATTGGCTCCTATGCCATGCCCTGACCAGCGATTGTTACTCAAGGTGCATGTGTTGCGCACCGCTCTCAATATCCCTCTTGTGATTTGTTTTTCCATCTTCTTTTTGACTACCTTCCTGTCCTCTCAGGTTCCTGCCTACTCTCAGGTTTCGCACACGCTTTTACACACCGTCTGCATTGCTCTCCTTGCTGTTGACAAACCAATCACCTCCCTCTCTCGAACACTGTCATGACATTTTGCTTGTATTTACTCACTGAAACCAAATAATATCACATAAACTCCTTCGCCAGTCTTGGAGTGTTATACTGCTGTGGCGTTCAATTCAGGTTCATAATGTCAGTGGGGTTGTATATGCAGACTGGGGGTGCGGTCCTGATTTAAAACTTAACAATATTTTACATTTGTAGTACCACCTAGTACCACGGTGTGCAAAGACGGCTCCAGAGTGACTTCTAAGTGGGCTGCGATGCTGCATCGATGTGGGAGTAGCGGGTATTGCCGCTTCAGGCGGTGTCCATCAGTTATAAGGATAAGATTAATCGACATGCACATCACGTGCCTCGGCTGCCATGGTCACTGCTCCCAGTGTCGAAAATTTGTCGAAACCACTACATATCCATCAAACCGAAAAAACTCGGTGTTAACGTGATCCCCCTGGAATGAGCCAATCAGAGAGCGAGAAGCGGTCGCCCGGCACGACCCGCGCTATTAGACAAAAAAAAAGTCCTGGCAGAGGCGATCCAGTACCGTGCTGAGCGCTTGTCTCGCTCTTGCTCAAACAGGTACACCCCAGGGGGGCTGTACTTGGCCATGCAGCCACCAGCTCAGGGAGCCTGGTTGCACCGTGCTGAGCAGACCTTCTCCATTGTTTTGTGGAAGCTTGAAGCGCCTGCATGACCTTCTCATTACAGGCATGTATAAGAGATAGCGCCGACGTTATGGCTGACTCAGGCCAACTCAGGTCCATAACTACCACTTCCGTGTTACCTAGCGAACAAACGATCCCAGTCATCGCAAAAACGCAATATGGTGACCATCGCACCTTTCCTCCCATCGTCTCTCCTTACTACCAGACGAGCAATCCCCGGAAACTCATTCAAGCCGGATGACCACATGAATTTCGTTGCAGAATGTGAAGCCGACCCAAACACCCTCTTCGTATACTCGGACGGATCCCGATACAAGGAAGATGGCAAGATAAAAACGGGCTTCGGCGCCATAGGCTACGCATGTGGCAAAGTCGTCTAAACCCACCCTCATCGTCATTTATGCAGACAACACTGGTGCACTAAAACGTGTCGTTCAGAGTAAGCGGCATAAGGCACAGGAGTTAGCCAGGGACTTCAGGAAAACCATGTGCAAAGTCCTAACAGACTTCGAGGAGTCGAAAATCGCACTGCACTGGTGCCCAGGTGTATACCAGGGAACAAGAAAGCCGACCAACTAGCAAAGGGAGGGGCCAAACTCAGACCAGCTTGACCGAACTTTAAATCCCTCTCATACGTAGAAAGTCTACGCAAGAGAGAGATGGAAGAAGCCTGGACACACCGATGGACGAACACACCGAACCCTCCGAGGTTGGGTTTCTATGCGGCGAACCAGCTAGCACCCAAACTCAGACCCACGAAACGGTTCAGAAAACTCGACAGAAAAACCTTCAGCCGAGTTCCTCCAATTTTGAACAGGACACGCTCACATAGGAGAATACTACCACCGCTTCAGCATCACGTTGGAGAGCAGAGCATACCAATGCAGGAAACCGACACAGATGAGGACACATTCTGATGGAATGCCCCTGGATGAGGAGACATAAACACCTACTAGGATGCGAACCAGATGAAGTTCAACATGCTAATTGGCAAAGTGAAAGGCATAGAGACTCGCGTTTTTCATTAAAAAGTCCAAGACAGGCGACAAACGGAAAACCAACGATAACGGACCGGCCGCGCGGCACATAGAACAGATGCGGAGCAGGAGATGCTGGGGATAGACGGACAGACATAACTGCTTTTTGTTTTTATTTTATTTCTCACTTTTAACATGACAATACCCACAGACACCACATACCCCGAGGAACAATGACACCCGGAGATACCAACCAGAATATCCATCATGTATAGGCATTCCCCCATGTACGCTAGGGTGTCACGATGGGAAAGCCGCACTGCCACGTCATCACGAGGCCACAGGGCATTAAGATAGAGTTATCATCAGACGGTTCTTGTGAGGCACTCACGAATAGGGCGATTCGTTTGTGTTGGTATGGAAGGTAGGCCGGACGAGTTTTTGTACAGCCACATTCCCATGTCCGAGTGAGGAACTCGCCCGGACAGCCACCTATTATTTCAGACTAATCCGTGCCAGGCCCACGGATATATTCATTCATTTCTTTTTCCTCAATTCTTCACGCATATTGGCTGAGACTGAGCTTCATGCTTATAGTCCAGCCCTGAGATCAATTACCGCGCACCAATATTATGCCATACAATGTACCCCGAGATCCTAGCAGACCCCTCATTCGTTTACCACGATTATTCCGACCACAACATGGATGCCGAGTTCCGATTGAATGGCCATTGCATGCTCAGTTCGTACGACATGATTCATCGTGCATTCGTTTGAGCCTATGCCATGGATGGAATGAAAATTTCTTTTCAATGGGACTCCATGCCTGCCATCATCCCCCATCGGAGGACGCATTTCCGACTAGTGTCTCCCTCATGGTTGCAAGGGATACAGGATGCATGGAGCATACAGCAACATCGCTACTGGAACGGATATATATAGGCTAAGTTCCCTGGCCTGTATCTCCATGATTGGTACGACCCCACTTGGCGGATGCACATTTGGACTTCCAGATCAAGCTTATGATGGAAGAACTTTATCGAGAGGATACTGAGGGAGGTGGGCTCAGAGGGCAATACAATGAAAAGAACAGGATGCAATGGGACGGCATAACATGGGCGAGGAAAACTGGGGAGGAGGTGGGTGGTTGGGAAAAAGCAGTGCAATGCGAGAGCAAGAAGAAACTTAGGTGCCAACGGGTAGTCTGAAGTGCACATGTAAGTTCCACCCTGCTGCAGCGAAGTAGGATTCGCCAGTCTGGAAGGTGCCGACGCGAAGGCATGAGCGCTGAGAAAGTGGGAAAAGACGTAGGCAGGCCTCCAGCCACTTCGTAATAATACTACAAAAGCGGATCAAATGAACAAATAAATTCTGTCAACTCCGCTACAATATCGCTCATGACACTGACACTATACCGACAATACAACCTCCACCTGGCTCTTTTTACCGTGACAAATTTATTATTGATGTTGTTGTTAGGTATTGTTATTGTGGTATTGTTTGTATGGATTGTATTATTGTTTGTATTGTTTGTGTTATTATTTGTATTGTTTGTGTTTACACGTTCTACGGTTTATATTGTCGGCGTGGTTTTTGGTGTGTTGGCATTGGTTGTATTGTTTGTATCATTCGGTATTGTCGGTACTTTTGGTATTGTCGGCACTGCTTGTATTGTTTGGGTTCTTCATCATTTGTATTGTCGATATCGTGTTGTC